TTTTTTTTTTTTTTTTTTTTTTTTTTTTTTTTTTTTTTTTTGAAAATATGACCCTTTACTCACCGACAGAAATTCAGATTGGTTACTTTTTCACAAAAAATTAACTTATTAACTTTTGAAAATAATCTAAAATGCTGACATTTTTATATATATCTTAAGTTAAAATTATGTAATATACTTTATTTTGAAAATAAAATCTGACCTCTGGACTTGTGTTATGTGGTAAAATCGGATATCAAAATTAGAGAAAAGAAGTACAATTTTTGTGTAAAAAATGAAGAATTAAATAAATTGTTCTACAAAAACTTATTTGAAAGTGTTCTAAGAAGTTAGTGTTAACTACATTGGCTTATTAAGAAAGGGGACCAATTTCCTTATTTTAGCTTTTATGCAAAGCTGAGAAGGTATTAACTTTACTATGATGTGTTTTTTTTTGTGTATGTTACCACTTTTTCTCAGCTCTCTCCTCCCAAAAATAAAAAATTTCATATCAATTTTACACCATTCTTACTTTTTAAATAATGTTTAACTTGTATTCTATATACTCTGTCTTTCTCCAACTTATTCTGAATCCCTTTATTTCAAGAGCTAAAAATGTCATCTATTGTTGTTTTTTAACAACAATAGATTAATTATTTAACAATGTCCAATTTTCTTTATAGTAAAAGAGCTAGATGATGTTATTGTAAAAAAATTGTTTGCGAAAGATAAAAAAAATGTTTATTAATCACAATGAGCATTTAAAAATTTTATCAGAAACACTTTTTGCCGTCAGGGTTTTTTGATTTAAAACGTGACATTTTTACCAGATCTACCTAAAAACATTTCAAAGGTACCCTGAAATCTGTTGAATTTTGACTGAGTTATGAACTTTTTTTTAAGTCTATGCGCATAGTTTTTAGTAAAATTGTGTTTTGTTTAAGATATGTACCTCTTCTTTTCCCTATATTTTTCTATTAGTGATCTTGTACAAAAAACTGGCTCCATCGTTGACTTTCCAGGCATAAATCTAAATTGGTTCTTTGTTACTAAAGTTTCCCCATATTATCTTTTGTCTTTTACCTTTTCCTAAATTCCTTTTCGTACTCAGTCTCATAAGCTTTAAGCCTCTAATTTCCATGATTCTGTATATCTTCTTTAAATTTAAATATCGACACCACAATACTATTCTTCCATTCTTTTAGCATTTTTGGCATATTAAATCAAATGGACTTTTTCTTGCTATTTAATTATAAATTATTTTACACTTTATTTCCTATTAGAAACTAAATTTATAAAAAATGTTATTACTGTACTTTAAAAATAATAAAATGAAAATTTTTAAGTAGTGTCATTATTTTTGTTGATAGATTATGTAAAGTTTTTTCATAAGTGATAAAAATAAATAAGGTAAAAAAATATACCTTTTTTTATTTTCAGTATGATTAAAAAAAATTGCTATTATAAAATATTTAAACTTCAAAATTAAAATTTCAATATTCAAGCATAAACGCAACTAAAATAAAGTTTATGGAAGTGTTATACTAAAATTTCCTGTTCTACAATTTTTAGCACAAACCAAAAATAAAAATTCTTGACATTTTTGAAGAGGCTTATTCTTTGTTTGGTAAAGCTAAGCTTCCCTAGTTAGTGCCAATGTATACAAAAGTGTATTGAAGACATAACTATTGACTGCCTCCCACCCTATAAATCCTAGCTATGCCATTGGTAAACTTCTGTTTTATGCATGATAAGATAATTAACATTTCTATAAATTTGATTAACCTTATAACTGTTTTAATATTTTAGTTTCCTTTTTTTTTTTTTTTTTTTTTTTTTTT